TATAAAATTTACATCCTCCCACAATATTGCAATATTATTAATAGGACCACCGCACAAGTTTTTCTGTAAAGATTCGATAAAACTTTTATGATCTGATAGTTTTACATCCTTTCTGAATATCTCACAATATAGCAATATTATTAAAAATTAGAAAATTGGGGCCACCGCACAAGCTTTTCTGTAACATGTTATATTATGTTAAGTACTGACTACAAACTCAGACTTTCACGTAACCTTAAACTCCAATCAATGCACAACGAAAATTGTAATGTAACCAGCTTGATGCAATATACAAGCTTTGTGCGTTGACTGAAGTTTAAAGTTGAGTACGAGTTTAAATTTATGGTCAGTACTTAACATAGTGTTACGGAAAAGCTTGTACAGTGGCCCTTAGAGTCTGGTGACTAACTGATATAAATATCTTCAATGTGTTCTCTCAATACTTTCCAGGAAGTCCATCATTCGTTATTTTCGATATCACTTGAAGATGAAGAAGAGGCTCGTCCTTCTTTCTCCTTGATTTTCTACAAGATAATAACTGATTCTGTGTATTGAATCAAAATAAGGAGGAAGAGTTGGTTAATAATGGTGAATTGTAAATTTTATTAGAGGATCATATAAATGTTCATAACTAATTTGGCAGCTGCATTGATTAAAACGGAAGCCTACAATGTAGCTTTAGAAAATGTGAAACATGTTTCGATGTGTCAACCATAAAATGTTAAAACACTATTTAGGAAAGGTATTGCAAAAATCCTAATCTTTTTATTTACTATATTTAATCTTTTTTTTAAATAAGTTGTATATATTCTTGATTTATATTTTATATATGGAAAATTCAAATATGTGTGTATATATATTGTGCGTATTGTAGCAACAATATTGAGACACAAAAGAAAATATGCAAAAGCTTATGCAATTTCTCTTGCCAGTGAAATTCAAAAATTAAATCCAGAAATGAAGATATTTACTACAGAATTAATGGCCTTAAAGGACAAAATTGGTAAACACGCAGAAAAAGAAAGGTACCTATATCCTTTATTTAATTACTTATTTTTATCATCTGCTTTTATATCCTTTGACGAATTTTTAGTATTTTCAATTACACCTAACATTTTATGATATAGATGCTTTTCTTTTTCTGCATTTTTAGTAATTTTATTCTTTAAGATCACTAATTCTGTAGTAAATATCTTCATTTCTGGATTTAATTTTTGAATTTTAATGGAGAGAGAGAGAGAGAGAAAGAGAGAGAAAGAGAGAGAAAGAGAGAGAAAGAGAGAGAGAGTGCATAAGCTTTTGCATATTGCCCTTTGCGTCTCAATACTGTTCCTACGATGCGCACAATATATATATATATTGAATTATATTTGTCAATGACAGATATTCTAATACTCTTCGATAACATTATATTATAAAAGGCAGCTCCATCCGAATAAACCATCAAGTTCTATGTTCATGTTTTTCATTGCTTTAAAAAAATAAGTTTAACCATTATCCAAGAAAATAAGTAATCTTTATTATATAATTTATAAACAAAATTATTACCTTCTTTGACTAATGTTTTCTATTTCAAACCCTAACTCTGATGCTTTCAATTCAATTGTATATAATATTTTTGATACAATTCTCACAAGATTTTAAAAACAAAAATTTGATAATAACTTTTTAATATGCAAAATACTTCAAATTTAATAGATAAACTTTGAGAATATATAAAGACATCCAAAAAAGATGAAAAAACTCGTTGTAATTGCGTAAATTCACAATCTTTTTTCTTATCTCTCTTGGATGTCTTTATACGTGAGCAACTGGATCTGAATCTGAATCTGAAAGACCAAAAGTATCACATTCTGGTATACGATTATCATAGCTCAGGATTGACTGCACCAATCTTATTCAAACTGGTCGCAATCGAAAGCTTAAATTCACATTGTATCAGAAAAGTGCCGTTAGATTTTTGATTATGGCTTTAGTTTCTGAGGCATTTTAATTGAAAGTTTATTAGACGTAAAACTCTGGATAAGCTATTTGGTCGCGGCCCCTGTACATAGGCAAACAAAACCGTTGACAAGCCGAAAAGAATTTTTGTCTATACTTGGCGTCGCGACACTACCGCGTCGTTTGATATATATATAAATATTCTTAACTTAAAAAAATTATGCTGACTTTCTAAATTAATTTTGTTAAATAAAAACTAATTTAGTACAAATCTTATTATACCCTAATAAATAGTTACAAATATTTAGAAAAATAAAGAGGTCTTAGGAATTTAGGAAGAAAAATTACATAAAAATCAGTTCAAATGTCACCATACAGAATGACCCGCAATGACCGCCCACTAAGTACATAGCGTTATTCCTTACTAAAAACTGAGACGAAAAGTTCTGAACCATTTTTTTTTATAACGCTTAATAAAGGAGTTATTATTGAGTAAAGTCTGGCCAATCAGCGCCGACCTTTAGCCGGGCG